TATGAAAGGATCTCATAATAAGCGTACATGCATGTGCGTGCTGTCTCTCTTTTTCCCTAAGATTTAGGAAAAAAACTTAGTGATATAGTGGCATTTTAGTTACTGAATTTTTGTAATTTAAAATTTCAGAATCTGTGGTTGAGGAGGAAAATTCCTTTTCTGAAAATCAGCCATTTCCTTCTCTTAAGATGGTAAGTTTCTTGAGGAAAACCAAAGCGAGGCCATCACGTTAATTCTGTTATGTCTGAATAATTTAGTTTGGTCTCTTAAGTGGGTATTAAAAAGGCTGCATCAAAGACAACATTAATATAAGTTGGCCATTATCGGTGCTTTTTAGGGAAGATACAGTTTTGTGAGGTGTACTGGTGCTACTTGAATAACAAATCCACGTATTTCTGAGTATAAGCAGGAAGTAGAGAGCACAGAAAAAGGGGTAGAAAGAATATATGGTGGTGGGAGAGACATTTTTACAACATTTAAAACTGATTCTCAGCTTTTGGGCATAAACATGATTCTCCAACTAAAGAAAGTAAGTGCCCTTGTTACTTAACATGAGACACAAATTTGAAGAATTTACTCTGAAAAAGTATAAGAAAAACTAGCATGAAGCATTAAAAACTAGACATAATTTATATAGGAATCCCTTTGACAGCATCAGGAAAGCCTACATGAGGCCAGAGATGCTGCATCTGCTTTTGTTCCACTAGCTTCATTTCCTAACTTTTGGTCTCCCTCAGTGTCTTTTTCTGGTAAGGGCAAGTACAGCAGATTTCTAAGACAAAATAGGTAATTTCAGCTTACCACAATACGGAAATATATGTTTTTAAATTGAGNTTTTTTTTTTTTTTTCCTTTTTTTTTTTTTTTTTTTTTTTTTTTTTTTGTGTGTGTGTGTGTGAGGCTGGCCAGTGTGCTCATTCGTAATCTTAGGTTGCTTCTGCTCTGCTGTAGCCCTTCATTATATAACATCAGTATTTTCTAATAGACCTTCTATGTGATAACTAGTTTTTATACATATGTTAATTTCTAGGATCTTTGTATATTTTGTTGTGCCATGTAATTTTACATGCTTCCTCTTCCCATCCCCATTAGATTAAGTGTCAACCTAATTTAGGAATTTTTATATTCTTCTTCCCTACTTGGGTATTTGATCATGATCTTATATGTGTGCCCATATAAAATATATTTAGTGGTTAGTAGTTATTCTTATTAAATTGGTAATTCTACATTTTATAGTCTTCTCTAACTTGCTAGCTTTTCAAGTTATAGTTGTTTTTTGTTTTTTGTTTTGGTGGGTGGTCAGTACGGGGATCCGAACCCCTGACCTTGGTGTTATAACACCACACTCTAACCAGCTGAGCTAACTGACGAGCCTGAAGTTATAATTCTATTAACCATCTCTTTATAAACTCTAAGGCTTTTTTTCTGATTGCATTTTGTATGTTTTCTAGCTTGCTCATGTGACTGCACTAAAGTCTAAAGATAGGAAAGGTATGTATCAATATGGAAACACTGTTTTCATTTTGTAGTTAGCATTAATGATCTGTTTCCCTATCCATTTTAACATATTCTTGGTCATTTTAATAAATATAATGCTGGACCATCTAAATGTAATTTTCTAGATGTGAAAGCCTTATATATATTAGCTTTCAACTGAATGTATGACATGTATGTAAGTAACCATTTTATTACTTTTCTTAGCTTGATGACCGTGGTTGTCTATAATTTTTTACCTATCAATCTTTTCAAACATTCTTAACCATTACAAAGTGGAGACTTTATCAAGAATAGAATTGGGCATCAAGGCCAGAAGTTTGAACCAGCTCTGTTGTTTAATATCTATGACCTTGGGCACGTTACCTTACCTAACTACTATGTGCCTCACTTTCCTCAAAGCTCATCCTGCCTTCCACTCCCCTTTGTAATTTCACTTTGCTTTCTACTCCCATAGAATTTAGTAATCTGTGCCATTCATTTGTGGCTTATTGTATCCTTTTTTATCTTTTAAAATATGGAGCTAGGACCAGCATTATCACCATCATCCTCTGGAAACTTGTTAGAGATGCAAATTCTTGGTCCCCAGCCCAGACCTACTGAATCAGAAACTCCAGGAGTGGGGCCCAGAAACTTGTGTGGCTTTGAGGGGCAACAGGGGGAAGACTGGCCAGTATAGGGATCAAACCCCATACCCTGGTGTTATCAGCACCATGCTCTAACCAGCTGAGCTAATTGGCCAGCTCTTATTGTACCTTAATTAAACTCTTTATTTTTGTATTTGTCTCTTCAACTACAATGTCAGCTTCTCAAGGGTAGGAAGATATTCTTACATTCCTAGAGACACATAGTAGGTATTCAGTAGATGTTTGTAATTGTGATAACAGTGTAGTTTGAGTCTGTGAAGAAACTGTGAAGTGCTTAAGACTCCAGACATTATCCCCAGAGTGTAAATGTGACTATATAGGCTTATAGATATTTCAGGACTATTTACAGTAAAATGAATTTTATATTTAACTTATTCAATTGGAAAATTTTACATGATTTTAGTCTTTTAAGTTATACATACACATAGGTTTTTGTTTGTTTGTTTGTTTTTTCCAGAAAAGAAAAGCTTAAAAAAAAAAGAAAGAAAGAAAACGAAAAGCTTGATATTTTTATTTTTTTCTCTTTTCGGAAAGAAAAAGTCTTCTGTGTCCCTTAAAATAATCTACTTTCGATTAAATGATAATAGGAAACGCACAATAGTAACCATATATTCTCTTAATTTCTAGTTTCTGAGCTGATTTTGTTATATCAAATAGAAGTCTTAGCAAAATGACACAGCTGTTAATTCCACCAAGAATTAACAAGTCACTGCTTGTGACTACTTTTTATTAACAGTAATATTACAATTTTTATAAGAAAATAATCACTCGGGCCGGCCCAGTGGCGCACTCGGTTGAGTGCAGCACTTGGGAGCACGGCGGCGCTCCCGCCAAGGGTTCGGATCCCATATAGAGACCGGTCCGCTCACTGGCTGAGCGCGGTGCGGGCGTGACACCGAGGGTTGCGATCCCGGTCACGAAAAAAGACAAAAAGGAAAAAAAAAACAAAAAACAAAAGACAAAAAGGAAAAAAAAAAAGAAAAGAAAAGAATCACTCTTGGGGCCACAAACGGTGGTATTTATATTGAGCGTTGCAAACCAATCTTTATGAAGGATACTTATTTGGAAAGTGGAGTTTTCAGTGGTTAAAAATCATATTTACAAAAGCCTTCAAAAGTACTGTGTATGAAAGATCTCGTAATAAGCGTACATGCATGTGCGTGCTGTCTCTCTTTTTCCCTAAGGATTTAGGAAAAAAACTTAGTGATATAGTGGCATTTTAGTTACTGAACTTTTGTAATTTAAAATTTCAGAATCTGTGGTTGAGGAGGAAAATTCCTTTTCTGAAAATCAGCCATTTCCTTCTCTTAAGATGGTAAGTTTCTTGAGGAAAACCAAAGCGAGGCCATCACGTTAATTCTGTTATGTCTGAATAATTTAGTTTGGTCTCTTAAGTGGGTATTAAAAAGGCTGCATCAAAGACAACATTAATATAAGTTGGCCATTATCGGTGCTTTTTAGGGAAGATACAGTTTTGTGAGGTGTACTGGTGCTACTTGAATAACAAATCCACGTATTTCTGAGTATAAGCAGGAAGTAGAGAGCACAGAAAAAGGGGTAGAAAGAATATATGGTGGTGGGAGAGACATTTTTACAACATTTAAAACTGATTCTCAGCTTTTGGGCATAAACATGATTCTCCAACTAAAGAAAGTAAGTGCCCTTGTACTTGACATGAGACACAAATTTGAAGAATTTACTCTGAAAAAGTATAAGAAAAACTAGCATGAAGCATTAAAAACTAGACATAATTTATATAGGAATCCCTTTGACAGCATCAGGAAAGCCTACATGAGGCCAGAGATGCATGGATATCCAGTTATCCCAGCAGCCTTTGCTGAAGAGGGAGTCCTGACCCCAGTGAATAGGCTTGGTGCCTTTGTCGAAGATCAAATGGCAGTGAGTGCGTGGGTTGATTTCTGGGTATTCTATTCTATTCCATTGATCAGTGTCTCTGTTTTTGTACCAGTACCATGCTGTTTTGGTTATTGTGGCTTTGTAGTATAGTTTAAAGTCAGGTAGAGTAATACCTCCAGCTTTATTTTTTTTTGCTCAGCGTTGCTTTGGCTATTCTTGGTCTTTTGTTATTCCAGATAAATAACTGTATAGTTCTTTCCGTTTCTGTGAGAAATGTCATAGGAGTTTTGATGGGGATTGCATTGAATTTGTATATTACTTTGGGTAGTATAGTCATTTTCACTATATTGATTCTTCCAATCCAGGAGCATGGGATGTCTTTCCATCTTCTTGTATCCTCTCTAATTTCTCTCAGGAGTGGTTTATAGTTCTCGTTATAGAGATTTTTCACGTCCTTAGTTAGTTCAATTCCTAGGTATTTTATTTTTTTGGCGGCTATTGTGAATGGGCAGGCTTTCTTGATTTCTCTTTCTGCTTGTTCACTATTGGTGAAAAGAAATGCTACTGATTTTTGTGTGTTGATTTTGTATCCTGCTACTGTGCTGAACTCTTTTATCACCTCTAAGAGTTTTTTAATAGATGATTTGGGCTGAACATATTTGTTAATTCTTATAGATTATAGCCTTGTTGACTTATGAGCCTCAGCATAATCTTTTATTTGGGGATAACATCTTTTCGGTGAGTTATCAGCATGGTATTTGTTAAGCATAATCATGTTCAAAACAAGCTAAAAATTGTGGGGATTTTTTGGTTTTTTCCTATCATCATATCTTAATTGATTGACATATCTGAGTGCAATTCAGAAAACATAACAGATGTCTTCCTGAATTCATAATGTTGCCTGTCTTAATACAGCTCACTTTGTATTTTTCAACAATAACTGTGAAAAGGATTTTAGGTTAAGGATCCATCTTTGTGTGATGGTGGTGATCAGTTATCACAGATGTCGCCTGAGACTACTGCTTTTGCTGTTTAATTTCTTTTGACATTTAATGTAATAATTATCAACCACATTGTCAGTTTAAGTGTGAGAAAAGAGTGGTTTGTGCTAAAGACACAAAACATTTTATCTTTACTGGTAATGTATTTGTATTGATTGCTTTTTGTAATAATTCTTTTTGTTTTTTTCTTATTCTACCATTTGTGAAAAACAAAATGAAATTTATCACCAACAAACAAAACTCTAGGTTTTAGAGTCTTTGCCAGAAGATGTGGGGTTTAACATAGAAATAAAGTGGATTTGCCAACAAAGGGTAAGTAATTCTCAATCTGATACATTCTTCTTTCCTCTCTCTCCTGTTTAAAAAATTCTTTCATTCCTATCTCTTTTTGTTTTAAAGAAATAAGTGAAGCAAATCTTATTGTGGCTTCCTCCAGCAAGCTAAGTGCTTGTGTTGGACCTTTTAAATAAAGCATATCTTACACTTTACTAATACGTGAGTACTTAAAATTAATGATGAGTGCATTTTTGTAGAAATTTCAGTTTCCATGTGTCTTATATGTACATTAATATGAATGGTTTCTGGGCCTACTTATAAAGTAGATGGTCACAACTCGTTGATTTAGTTTTTATTTCCTTATCCCCCATCTAAACATATATTTTAAATAATTTCCTAAGCAGTTGTCTTGGTTAGCAGTAGCTAGTAATAGTTACAATTGGGTATTAAAGAAATTTCTACAGATGTTTTTCAAATCACTCTCAGATTTAGTCATTCCTTTGCTCAACAAATATTTATTCAAATACTGCAATGGGCCAGGCATTTTCTGGGTGCTGGGAACAAGTAATGAACAAAACAGAATAAGGTCCTGCCTTCCTGCAATTTATATTCTAGTCAGGGGAAACAGCATATATCAGAGGGGGGGGGTATGTATAAATGGATAGGACGTATGGTAAAAGTGATGGGGTGGGGTTCGGGGTTGGAAGTAATTAATTCAGGTGTCATGACTGGGAAATTGGAGCAATATCCTGGAATATGTTTTGGTCAGAGATATCTATAACTGCCCTCAAATCAGGCTGTTTGTGACAAGCCGATCCTGGTTAACATAGTAAATGCTCACCCAAGGTTTTCCTAATATGTGGTTTTTAGTTTTCAGAGCTTCTAAGATTATTTTAATGACTAATATGTAAAGCGTTTAATATTTGACTGTATTAGGGCTGACTCTAATGTCTTGGTTATGTATATTGAACAATTATTTTTTGAGGATACCTGATATGCCTAAGACCCAAAGAAGAGATTTTTAACTGGTTGTTGATAATAGGATGTTTTTGTAATGTCTTAGCAAATGAAGTGTCCTATATTTTTATGCAGATTATATCAAAATATTCTATTTCATTTTTTCTTGTTCTTTCAAAGGCAATTAACTATTATTTTTTTAAATAATGAAGCACATAAGACAGCATAGAGTACAAAAACGTACTTGTGGGCTATAGAATTTCTGCTAACTAGGAAAATTAAGTAGAAATTAGACAGTAACATTTACTGCATTTTGTTAAGAGCGGAATGAATAAATCAAGAACAATTTGTCATCGCATTATAACAGAGAGAGCAGAATTTTAGTTTTGCTTTAATATAGTTTTCGGCAGTAAAGCATTCCTAAGTAATTTTTAGTGAACCCATCAAAGCTGAGGTATGGAAGGTTTGCCAGAATTTTAACATGTGTCATTGTATCATTGCTTCTTTCAGAATCATTATTTCAAGTTTTATATTATTATATACATGTATAACCAAGGCAAATAGAATTTACTTCCTGAACTTTCTACAGCTTTTTATATCCATCGGGTTTTGTCTTTTACTATCATCTTTCACATTCTGGAATTACCAGATATTTAATCTTAGGGTGAATCTATCTTTTTTTCCCTTGTTAAACAAAACCAGATTCTATTACCTTGCATAGTTGGTCATATTGCTTGGCCACCATTACTTCTAGAATAGTCTTGATCACCCATATTAATTATGATGTTTAACCAGTGTACTAACTTATTTTTCTCTGAAATTTCTTAAGGATTGGTCATTTAGTATTGTCTGTCACATGCAGTCATTTTAGTAGACCAGCAGAAAGGAGCCAGGATGCTCATGAGCACACTAAATTTAACCCCCCACCGCCATGTACATCCTATTTACACCTTCTCAAAGGCAGTAAATGTTATTCGTAGAGGAGCAAAAATGAACACATTCACCAACATGATCCAAAGACACTCCGTAAAGACGTAAGTAAAGTCTCTCACACACACACTCACCAAGACAAATGTTTCAATATGATATATTCTGATTCATTTAAGATTATCCAAAGAATATCCAGTACTTACTATACTAACACTAAACCTAAAAATTAGCTATTAATTTTAAGTGAACATACTACAGAACTGTCAGAATTGTAGTTCAGATCGAGTGAACATATAATTTTACATTTTTTTCTAATTTCACATGTTCTCTACTCCGTACTAGTAAGATTAGGTAGAGGATCTATAGCTGTTTTATAAGTACTCTTAGCAAATTGTTCTGAATTGTCCAAGAATTTATCCTATTTTTTTAGTTGACAAGTATAAATTATATATATTTATCGACTACAACACAATATTTTGAAATACGTATATTGTGGAATGGCTTAAACAAGCAAATTGTCCCATTAATTTCCTCACATAATTTTTTTTTTATGGTGAGAACACTTTAAATGTACTCTCTTAGCAAGTTTCAAGAATATAATACATTGTTATTAACCACCGTCAGCATCTTGAACTTATTCCTCCTATCTAACTAAACTTCCTTTCCTTTACCAACATCTCCCTAACTCCCTACCTCCCCCTTCCCTACCCTGGTACATCAAAGTATTTTAAAGGTATAGTAGACTAAATTTCCAGAGTTTCAGCTTTTATTTTTGTTAACTTTCTCAAAGAGTCTATTGATGGTTTAGTTAATCACTTCTTATGGGTTTCTGTACGTGAATTATGCTTGCTGCACCGCCACTAAATAGCTTTGTGAGTGGGGTTTTTCAAATTTTGAAGTATACCACAAACATGTGGGAAGCTTGTTAAAAATTCAGATGACGGGTCTCCAACCCAGATGTACTAAATCATCTTGGGAGGTGATTGTGTTTGCCCCCAGACCTTTGATCTATCTGTCTCAGCTTTCTCTGTGATCTCATCCAGTCGGTGGCTTTTCATACGTTTATATGTTCCCAAATTTATATATCTCCAACTCAGACCATTCCCCTGGCCTGTAAACTTTTATATCCAAGTACTGACACCTGTTCTTCCTAGATAGCCTTCCAGAGTTCAATATAAATGGCAGCTCTGTCATTCAGTTTCTCAAGCCAAATCGTTGGGGTCTTCCATGACTCCGTTCTTTATCTCATACCCAAATCCAACCAGACAGAAAATCCTGTCCACTCTGTCTTAGAAATATATCCCAAATCTGTCCACTCACCACATTTGCTTTTGTCACTCAGCTAAGCCACCTCATCTTGCCCTTCACTCGCGTGAAGTTCATACCTACTGGGTCCTAGAGCCTCACACTCGATTTCATTTACAGGCGTGGTGTGTCCTCCTTACCAGACTGTAAGGCCTCAAGGGCTTTCTCCTTGCCCATTTTGGAGAATGTTTTAGCTCTTCTATAGAACGATGTTGAATTCTTACTTTTGACTGAAAGACAATACATGTTAAAGTCTGAGGTTATATCTGTGTGATGGGATTATGCTTTTGTTTGTTTCGTTTATACTTTTCGTGTTTTCTAAAACTTAAAAACAGAATATTACAGTTATCTCCCAGCTGAAAAGTCTTTATTAAATTGTCCTTTTAGGGTTCGGCAAAAACAGAACAAATATCCCATATTATTTTTGACTCAAGGAAAATCTGATATCTACCCTGAACTCATGGACCTCAGATCTCGGACAACTCCTATTGCAATGAGCTTTGCACAGTTTGAAAATCTACTGGTAAGTGTTGTTTGAATTTTTATTTTTAATTTTCTATTTTATGTTTGAGAGCAGTAGTAAATAAGGTTTCTTATTACATACACATAGTTAAAGTTTTGAATAAAGTGTAGCGAACAAGTAGCTCTAATTAAAAATGAGGATATTAAGTCTCAGAATGAAAAGCATTAAATGAAGGGAAGTAAAAGTTTTCTTGTAGGCTTACATGAAGTTTTTGTTTGTTGTTTTTTTTGTTTTAATTTTGTTTCTAAAAGTAGTATCTTTTTTTTTCTTTTCATCTGGCTGGTAAGGAGATCTGAACCCTTGACCTTGGTGTTATAACACTACACTCTAAGCAACTGAGCTAACCAGCCAGTCCCATTAAGTTGTTGGGTTTAGTTTTCTGCGTGGATTTTATAAATCATCTAAAGTTGGACTGCAAACTTGTTTTCATAGGGCATTCCATTAGTAAAAAATTTTTGACCACACATTGAAATATCTGTATGTTTATAAATTTCCTACATATATTATCAACAAAAAATTTCCTCACAAAGTTCATGGGAAGATTCATAGTGTATTTTAATTCCATTTTTCCATGAACTTTTTGAAGTATCCTCATATATTGTGAATATATGTACAAGTATATATGAAATATCCATTAAAAAGAATAAGATAACATTAACTGTAAGAAAATGTTCTAATATTTTCTTTTCCTGCCTACTCTACCTTAGAGAGCACAAATGTAGAGTATGAGCATTTAGCATTTGCAGTTAATACATTACTTTTCCATGAACAACTAATTTTTCTTCTTTTAGGGCATAAATGCACATACTGAAGACCTGCTCAGAAACCCATCCTATATTCAAGAGGCGAAAGCTAAGGGACTAGTCATATTTTGCTGGGGTGATGATACCAATGATCCTGAAAACAGAAGAAAATTGAAGGAATTTGGAGTTAATGGTCTAATTTATGATAGGTATTTATTTTTCATGAAAAATTTCCATGGAATGTTGGAAAAAGTGTAGTTTTCACCTTACAAATAAAATTAAACTTAGTGAAGTTAAAATTCTGTAGTTCACCTTGAGGTTTATCTTGATATTTGTGAGTGGGGTTTTTCAAATTTTGAAGTATACCACAAACATGTGGGAAGCTTGTTAAAAATTCAGATGACGGGTCTCCAACCCAGATGTACTAAATCATCTTGGGAGGTGATTGTGTTTGCCCCCAGACCTTTGATCTATCTGTATCAGCTTTCTCTGTGATCTCATCCAGTCGGTGGCTTTTCATACATTTATATGTTCCCAAATTTATATATCTCCAACTCAGACCATTCCCCTGGCCTGTAAACTTTTATATCCAAGTACTGACACCTGTTCTTCCTAGATAGCCTTCCAGAGTTCAATATAAATGGCAGCTCTGTCATTCAGTTTCTCAAGCCAAATCGTTGGGGTCTTCCATGACTCCGTTCTTTATCTCATACCCAAATCCAACCAGACAGAAAATCCTGTCCACTCTGTCTTAGAAATATATCCCAAATCTGTCCACTCACCACGTTTGCTTTTGTCACTCAGCTAAGCCACCTCATCTCTCCTGTGGATTATTGAAGTTACCCGCTCCCTGATGACTGCTTCCACCCTTGCTCTGTCTGTTTTCAGCACTGCGGCCAGAGGGGCCTTTTAAAACCTGCCAGATGATGTTGCTACTTAAAACTCTCCCACAGATTTCTGTGTCACCTAAAGCAAAAGCCAGAGTCATTACAAGGCCCTATAGGAGCTGATCCCTGTCCCACACATGCCACCTCCCACCTCTGCCTTTTTGACCTTCCTTCCCACAACTTTCCTCCATCTGCTGTTTCCGTTTTCTTCAGAAAAAGACTTCTGTGAAGACTGAAATGTCACCTGAAAGGCTTAGTGAGGCCTTTCTTGAATAACCTATTTTAAACAGCAGCCTCTGTTCACAGTGCACTTCCTGACTTTTCTCCATATCGTTTATCACTGTCTGACACATCACATATACATAGTATATTTTATTTGTTTGTTTTTCTTCCTGGCTCCTTTCTCTCTGTCCCCTCCTCCCGCTCCCCCAATGCACACACTCAAATTAGAACATAAGCTCCATGAGAGCAAAGCTTTTGGCCCATTTGTTCACTGCTGTATCCCACAGTAGGAGCTCAAGTATTTGTTGAATAAATCTTTCTTTCTCTCTCTCTCTTTCTCTCTTTCTTTCTCTCTCTCTCCCCCTCTTTCTTTCTCTCTCTCTCTTTTTCTCTCTTTTTCTTTTTCTTTCTCTCTCTTTCTTTCTTTCTTCTTTCCTTTCTTTCCTTTCTTTCTTATCAGCTCCTGGGTGTTTATGATATAAATCTGACAGCCACTAATCT